ATGCTTGTCATGTCAGCAAGCGAAGAATCCCAGGAAATTTAATTCAGCTTCAACCGATAGAGTCATCGGGATTCAGTGAATAGTACAAATTGATCACCAGGAACTATGCATGAGGGCACTGGCTATAACCAAGTGCTGCTAATGATTGATCATTTCACGAAATCTTGCATGACAGCATCAGCGAAGCAGACGTGTGATCATTTAATAATTGTTTAGATAGGAAGACACGTCTGTCCCATCACGTTCTAGTCAGACAAGGGTAAAGCATTTGTCGGAGATCTCACAAAGGAGCTAATTAAGAGGCTGCAAATGACACAGGCCCACTCGACCTCTTATGAACCACAAACCAATCGGCTGATCGAAAACGTGCACTCATTTCCATGTTCAGGGTCTGTTGCTCACGATACATGGACGACTGGGATAAGCACTTGCCGCAAGTAAAGGACGCTTACAACAGCACCGAACATTCCACCACATGAATAAGCCCGCACATGATGTTAACAGGCCACGAGAAAGCTCTCCCAATAGTGTTCTTCTATCCTGTGTACCAAGGAAGTAGAACAGCACCGCAAATGAAGTGTGTGATGTGATTAGGAGGCAACAGGAACAAAATCATCTGTGCAGGAGGAACACGCAGCAGACAGGAAAAGAGGTTTTACAAGAGCACAGAAGATGCAAAAGCAGACTCGGTTGGGAAAATTAACTGGGTGTTCCAGGAGGTGGTTCCTCCAAAGGGAACAAAAAAATTGTTGAAATAACGGCGTGGTCTATTTCAAATAACTGAATTGCACCAGTGTGGTCGCTTTTATCGGTTGAGCACCGGACGGGCAGCTCCTTACGAGAAATGCAAAACCGCACAATGCCCCATCGGAGGACTGGTGCATTCCGACTGGCATTCAGGATAAGGACTACTTGATAGTTGACCCCGCCTGCGAGGTGAATGAGATAGGCACACGCGACAAAAAGGAGGTGATAGATGACTGTGATCTGCCACTTGACCTGGACTTAACCGAGCGAGTGGAGGTTGATGATGAAACCCTACCATATGTCGAAGAGGACTAGTCTAGAACAGACCAACGTTGATAGAGGAGTAGAGCCTGACTTTCTCTTCACCATGGAGACACATCAGGGCAGGAGCGGTAGGAATAAAAAAAATACAACCCGTATGGTGAAGAATTTGTCGTAGACAGGATTGTTTGTGCGACGCGGTGGACTCGATAGTGGGTCTGGACGAAATAATAGTGTAACAGGAGATCGACCTGATCTACGATACAGACCAGGACGGGATCGACGATCGCTCAGAACCGGAAGTGGAATTCGAACCTGAGGTGGAACATATGCATGAGAAAGAGTTGACAAATTTGCGAGTGCTCGAATGGCCCCTTGATCTACCTACAGATTCCAAGGAGACAATCCTGACGAATCAGGATACCGATTAGACTAGTATCAAATACATCAGTTAAGACAACACCGAGTCAAACTGGGTCACACCAGATGGTCATTTACGTGTTCCCCAATCCAATCACGATCTGTTCGATTCTGGGCGATCGACTGGTAAATCGTTGGATATTTTTATCTGGGTAGTGGGTGTAGGACTAACCCACGCCAAAAGTTTTATGATCAAAAAATAAAGTCGGCAAGGGAAGCAGAAGAACTGGAGACGAAGGGCAAAAACGACAAAAACCTCTTTTTGGACAAGTTTTCGATCAATTTTGAGGTACCGAATCACTAGTCAAACAATATTTTTGTCACAGACAATGAATTCATACTCACGGAACGTACATGCGCTATAGCGATATCCGCGGATGTAAGTTTTAAAACAGTACTAGCGGCCGACTTTAAGAGAGACTTAAATAATATCGAGTTTTTGTGGAAGCAGACGACTGGTTTGGGAGGGATGATAGCGCTTACCACCTGTTACATCACAGATACCATGAAAATACTTGTGTTTCTTGGTATAAGGCCACGGACAGACAACACGTGAATCCCGAGAGTTAAGTGCTGGCAATAACTCTACTCAGGGATTTCCTAGTTAAGAGAGGGGTAACCTCGCTCTTCTTGCCGTTCTATGAACCCAATAGGGGAAAATTGCATCCGAGAGAGCTATATGCACTAGTAGATGTAACAATTTCAGATTTCGGACTTACATAAAATTATTATCTGAGCATATGTAAGAGCTTTATTTAGTGCTAATCTTTTTTATTAGGTTCAGCTTTTAAAAAATTAGGACTAGGTTTTAGGATATTTATCAGGTACCAGATTTTGTATAGTTAAGTTGATGTATTGTAATGCTATTTGTGTTATCGTGTGGTTATGAATGTTTTATGGTTATGTTATTGCCACCTGGACTACCCCAGGCGCGAAAGGTGGCAACATCTGATCATTTTACATCAAGAGAGATGGAGGTGGACAGTCCATCTTATTGCTGTCTTTTAAACTACAAAAAAGAAGAGTTATTTGACTGACTGCTTTTAAAAGAAATGAAAGTACTGATATTAAGATGAGATAGCTTGTATGATTAATCTAAGTCGTGACTGATCATACTTTTTTATTGAATCTACAATGAAAACTGAGTGACGAAACCTACACGAAAAAGCATGAGCGACACATATGACTTGATGGATTTTATCTCAGCGATCCTAGGAACGACTCTAGATGAGGTATATCAGCGGCTGATAGATTGCATTTTTGGGATTGGAAGACCCGGAGCTGGCCATTATTATCGTTGCACAGCTTATTGCGACGGGAAGAGAAGGCCAAGGGACCACCCCGCAGAAGTAGTCTCAATTCTGGCACTCGGCGATTCCAGTACCGCCGAGCGGAGCAGAAAACGACTCGTGCGATGGAGATGCAGCGAAACTTCTGGATATGACCTGGCTCGTGAGCCAGGATTGGGCGAAAAAAAAAAGAGTTTTAGGCTGGGAGATATGCCGATGCCAGTACGCCCCTGTTCCTTAGCACAGCCTCTCTTCGGATCGAAAAGATTACGCAATGGGCCGGCCCCGCCGCATTCTGTGGACTCACCAACTGCAGCTCCAACAACAAAGAAGGCGGGAATGATGATGTCGAGCTATTTCCCTACGATAGATGAGAAGGATGAAACGCATCAAATGATGATGGAAATCGAGCCCCTGTTGATAGAAATGAGTTATCTAACTTGGAGGAACATCCTGCTGATTCATGGGAAGCACCCGTGTCACTGCCTATTGCAGACGTTTTGGTACCCCAAGAGAGCAAACCTGGTTTTGTTTTGGGATGCTGGAAATTTTTTCTCCATGAGAGTGCCTGATCAAGCTCAGAACATGACGAGATTTGTGGTCAGCGCCATGCTGGCGGTGAGGTGACAGGAAGCCAATGCAGGAACGACTGAACAAGAGTTGGCCGTGGTAACTTCAGAGCAATTGAGCAGAGTGAGCGTCAGTAAGAAACTGGATTTGTGCAAGACTACCCGCAATTTTTTGAGAATTACTAAACTGATCAAAAGGATATGGACAAGACAGAGATTGATGCCTTGGTTCCGTGCGGTGATGACGTCATGGGTGTATGGACGTGCAAAGCGTCATACGTCCCGAAACACCGAAGTTTATCAATCTTTCCAGCTAGATATAGGACCGGAGCCTATCAAAAAGCATTGGTAACGCGTAGGAACGCCCTGAAGAAAGCCGTGAAACGAGCAGCTGGGATGTCCTGTACAACGGAGAGCGAGAAAAGACAGTTCTTACAAGCTGACTTAGAGCGAAATGTGAGCCTGTGTTTGCATAACAGCTTAATAGGAAAAGGGAGCAGAAGGTAAATGTAAATCTTCTGCACTGCTGCAAACAGAGGTTGTTGGAACAAGAAAGCTGGGGCCTGGCCCACAACTCTGTCGACATGCTGCAGAAAGTCGTGGAAGACACTGTGATGGTTGAACAGGAACATGAAGCGATGGAGTTAGTAGTGGAGACGAGACAAGGAACGGAAGTGAGGAGAGATGAAAAACTAAATTATTGCAGTCAAGACTGATTAATGAAACTTTCAGGTTTTTTGTTTATGTTGACTTCTGGCCAGACCAGACTTTGAAACTGTTGAGATATGTTAAAACTTTTGAATTAAAATTTTTAGTTTGTTCTTATTTGTTTATACAGGTCTTAGGTGAGTATATTAACTTATTTAAACATTAGTGAAGTTTTTAACATGTGTAGGACGTATCTTCACTTTGTGACGACCTGGTAGCATTTGGGTACGCTCGCTCGAGGAGTGTGGGTACCTCATTACTTTTCCTAGTCATAGAGTTTTTTATTTTAAGTTTTGAGGGCAACAGCACAAATGAATGATTATACTTTGTGATTGACACAAAGATAATTTTAACGGGTGCGTGGCAGGGCCACGTCCCAAACCTTTTTAAGTCAGCAAGAGCGAGAAAAAATTTTTAAGTGAAATGACGTAAGTAGTCAGAAAATAAATTTCATCTAGAACACTTCTCATAGTGCTAATTTTAAGAAAATGTTAGAAGTCAGTGAAATTTAGTAAGATGCCATTTTTGACTTGCAGTGATTTGAGGTGACGTAGATGAATTTCAATTTCTAATGCGACTTGTAAGTTGATTATAAAAAACTGGATCACTACTTGAAGATAATTCGGAGTTAGGCATTCAATGGGGACAATGAAGGGGACTGTCCGGGGAGTAAGCGCCATTCCCCCGGAACGGCACTGTCGAACCCTCCGACGAGAACGAAAGCACGTATTAGCGACGTTAGATATGAATTGATTGCAAAAAGGTGGGTAGGAATAATCCAGTTTTTAGAAACTTCCGATTTGAACTGGAGTATTTCTGAGAAGCACACGCCGAATTAACAAGACGGGAAACAGTTGGAGAAAAACACGAGAAAAATGCTTTTTATCGCGAGAACAAGACACGATAAGACGCTCAGCTGAAGCAGATAAGAATAAAAGAGGCTTCAGTGGGACAGCCAGAGCGGATCCGTACCCTCCCGTACCACGAGGTTGGAGGGATAACGACGTCATCTCTGAGGGGAAACGGAACTGGAGGCCCGGTGTCCAGAGACAATTATATAAGGCGTGAGACTCTTAAACGTTCTTTTAGCTGCTGTGATGCCCTGAATAGTTGAGTCAACTCCTATTTTACATAGTAATTCAGAGCATGAGTAGCTAGAGAGAAGGAAAAGTCAATCCATCACCAATGAATTTACTATATAACTGTCACTAAAAATCTAGCAAATAAAAGATTCTGAGCCGTGTTTTTAATGGTAGTCGAGTAGTCTGATAATTCGAGACCCAGCTATGTGGTTATCTTTGCATGTAACGAAAGCTGATCAAAAGTCGTTTGACTGATGGCCTAAAAGTATTAACTTTTCACTTATCCCTAAACAGACCAGAAAACTAACCGGCTAGGTCTAGACGGTAAAAAACAAGTAGGTTTAAAGTTATTGACGCCTGCCAGTCGTTAGAATGAGGTTTTTGTGCGCTCCGTCATTCGGTAATGTTCGCTCGAAGGTTACACTGGCCGGTTATTTTTAGGACGAGAAGATTGAAGCCACTTGGATGAATGACTGATTGAATAGATAGCTTTGTGGATGAATGGATGATAAGATGTTCGGGTGGCTGAAAGGATGAACGATGAGTACATTGATTGCTGCTGTATGGATGTTTGGATGCATCAATGAATGAAATAATGATTCGTCGGATGAATGGATGTATGGCTGACTTGGTAGAAAGATGGATGGATAGACTGATGCCGGTTGGATGGATTGCTGATTGGATAGATAGCTTGTGAGTGGATGAATGATAGGATATTTTGGTGACTGAAAGGCAGGAAGATGGTTACATAGATTGCTGCTGTATGGATGGTTGGATGCAACAATGGATGAAATAATGGCTCGTCGGATGAATGGATGTATGGCTGACTTGGTACTAAGATAGATGGATAGACTGATGCCGGTTGGATGGATAGCTGATTGGATAGATAGCTTTGTGGATGAATGGATGATAAGTTGTTCGGGTGGCTGAATGGATGAACGATGAGTACATAGATTGCTGCTGTATGGATGTTTGGATGCATCAATGGATAAAATAATGATTCGTCGGATGAATGGATGTATGGCTGACTTGGTAGAAGGATGGATGGATAGACTGATGCCACTTGGATGAATGACTGATTGAATAGATAGCTTTGTGGATGAATGGATGATAAGATGTTCGGGTGGCTGAAAGGATGAACGATGAGTACATTGATTGCTGCTGTATGGATGGTTGGATGCAACAATGGATGAAATAATGGCTCGTCGGATGAATGGATGTATGGCTGACTTGGTACTAAGATAGATGGATAGACTGATGCCGGTTGGATGGATAGCTGATTGGATAGATAGCTTTGTGGATGAATGGATGATAAGTTGTTCGGGTGGCTGAATGGATGAACGATGAGTACATAGATTGCTGCTGTATGGATGTTTGGATGCATCAATGGATAAAATAATGATTCGTCGGATGAATGGATGTATGGCTGACTTGGTAGAAGGATGGATGGATAGACTGATGCCGGTTGGATGGATTGCTGATTGGATAGATAGCTTTGTGGATGAATGAATGATGAGATGTTTGGGTCGCTGAAAGAATGAACGATGAGTACATAGATTGCTGCTGTATGGATGGTTAGATGGATCAAAAGATGAAATAATGGCTTGTTGGATGAAAGGATGTTTGGCTGACTGGGTAGTTAGATGGGTGGATTGACTGATGTCGGTTGGATGGGTGACTGATTGGTTAGATAGGTTTGTGGATGAATGGATGATAAGATGTTCGGGTGGCTGAAAGGATGAACGATGAGTACATTGATTGCTGCTGTATGGATGGTTAGATGGATCAAAAGATGAAATAATGGCTTGTTGGATGAAAGGATGTTTGGCTGACTGGGTAGTTAGATGGGTGGATTGACTGATGCCACTTGGATGAATGACTGATTGAATAGATAGCTTTGTGGATGAATGGATGATAAGATGTTCGGGTGGCTGAAAGGATGAACGATGAGTACATTGATTGCTGCTGTATGGATGTTTGGATGCATCAATGAATGAAATAATGATTCGTCGGATGAATGGATGTATGGCTGACTTGGTAGAAAGATGGATGGATAGACTGATGCCGGTTGGATGGATTGCTGATTGGATAGATAGCTTGTGAGTGGATGAATGATAGGATATTTTGGTGACTGAAAGGCAGGAAGATGGTTACATAGATTGCTGCTGTATGGATGGTTGGATGCAACAATGGATGAAATAATGGCTCGTCGGATGAATGGATGTATGGCTGACTTGGTACTAAGATAGATGGATAGACTGATGCCGGTTGGATGGATAGCTGATTGGATAGATAGCTTTGTGGATGAATGGATGATAAGTTGTTCGGGTGGCTGAATGGATGAACGATGAGTACATAGATTGCTGCTGTATGGATGTTTGGATGCATCAATGGATAAAATAATGATTCGTCGGATGAATGGATGTATGGCTGACTTGGTAGAAGGATGGATGGATAGACTGATGCCACTTGGATGAATGACTGATTGAATAGATAGCTTTGTGGATGAATGGATGATAAGATGTTCGGGTGGCTGAAAGGATGAACGATGAGTACATTGATTGCTGCTGTATGGATGGTTGGATGCAACAATGGATGAAATAATGGCTCGTCGGATGAATGGATGTATGGCTGACTTGGTACTAAGATAGATGGATAGACTGATGCCGGTTGGATGGATAGCTGATTGGATAGATAGCTTTGTGGATGAATGGATGATAAGTTGTTCGGGTGGCTGAATGGATGAACGATGAGTACATAGATTGCTGCTGTATGGATGTTTGGATGCATCAATGGATAAAATAATGATTCGTCGGATGAATGGATGTATGGCTGACTTGGTAGAAGGATGGATGGATAGACTGATGCCGGTTGGATGGATTGCTGATTGGATAGATAGCTTTGTGGATGAATGAATGATGAGATGTTTGGGTCGCTGAAAGAATGAACGATGAGTACATAGATTGCTGCTGTATGGATGGTTAGATGGATCAAAAGATGAAATAATGGCTTGTTGGATGAAAGGATGTTTGGCTGACTGTGTAGTTAGATGGGTGGATTGACTGATGTCGGTTGGATGGGTGACTGATTGGTTAGATAGGTTTGTGGATGGATGGATGGATGCTACGATTTTTGGGTGGCTGAAAGGATGGACGATGAGTACATAGAGTGCTGCTGGATAAATAGTTGGACGGATCAATGGTTGAATTAATGGCTCGTAGGATGAAGCAATAGTTGGTTGGCTGGCTGCAAAATTGCTTGATGGATAGATGATTGGTTGAATGGATGTTTGAAAGGTTAAATCGAGGAGTTTTTTTACCAATGGCTTGATAGAGTTATGGATATGTGGCCAGATATCTGGATGTTCGACTGGAAGTATACGCTTTGTACTTCAGCAACCTATGATTCCCTGCTCTCTTTAGGCATTACTGTATACGATATAGCTAAACTTGCAATAATATCCTATAGATAGCTGAAACATGGCAAATAAAAGACACAGGATTTTAAAGGAAGCACCAAAAACAGTCATTATCTAACGAGCATAAAATATTTAGCGTATAAAACTTTCAAACACTGTCATAAATCAAGTGGCAATCATATTGGTTTCGTTTTAAAGGCCCAAACAATAATGAAATGCATTCAGTAGAATAATAAGAAGAAATTTAAAACTTCAGTCTCAAAATTCGAAAAAAAATTGGTGAATTAAATTTTAAAAAGTAATATTTTCAAGTTTTGGTTCAACTACTCAGTTTACCACTATTATATCAAATGAATCTCCAGAGTCTAGAAGCAACTTAGCACATTTAATCATTAGGCTTTAAAAAGGTATTCAAAAAAATGAACCGAAATCTTGGATACTTATTGTTTTAACCACCTTTTTTTTCGCTAAAATCAGAGAAAAATTTACTCTTTTTACGGTGTTAATTGAACAATTTGAAAATAACATAATCCATTCATAACTTCAATTACGTACTAAACTCAATTGTTTGATTTCTGTTTGAAGCAAGATCAACTGTTTGAGAATAGCGTTTTAGTTCAAGTGCTTTGCAATTTTATTAGTTTCGAACGAAATTACAATTACGTGACTCAAGGCAACTGTTATCTTTTTGTAAGCAAGTAAAAAGGATTGATGAAAATTGTTTTTAGCTGTGAAACTGATCTAGAACCTGCTGTGCTTTGCTTCTTGTGTTATCTTGCGACAACCTATTTTTTGTTTGGTCTAATAGAATTGGTTGAACAAACTCAAGTTTTACCTGAAAATATTTGAAATTTTTTTGCTACTGGGTGTATTTTGGCCAAAGTGAATAGATTCGAGCGATTGACTGAACTTTAGTAAGTGTGATTTAGGTTTCATAAGGTTTCGTTACTTAAGTAAGGTTTCGTAATAAAAATAAACATTGAGAGTTGTGTTTGTTTGTTTTTATGAGGTAGCAGCATCAACAGAATTGTAGGTTGGTTTTATAAAAGTCAAAGATTCTAAAAATTTAAACTTTTTGCAATAAAAGAAAAAACGACTGATTGGAATGTTTTTAAATGGTCATGAGTTGTCCCATTTGCAAAAAAAAACTTTCAGCTTTGAATTATCTCTGGCAGAAATAAAAAATTTGAATTGAAACAAACCAGCCTAAAAAAGTTATTAGGGCTGCAGGTGTGTATTTTTAAGCTGTCATGATTTTCCAAATCAATTTCATACAAAGTTTCACAAAACACAAAGGCAGGGATTTCCGGTTATGCGGATTACAGATAGCGGGCAAAATTTCGGATAGCGGATAATAGCTATCCCGGCGTTTCTTGCCACTGCAATCTTCGGGATCACCTCCCGATATTAAAGTCGATATTGCTCATTTTTTAGTTAAACAAGCACAGTATTTATCAAATGAGTAGTCCTAAACCTGCTGTTAATGCACTAGCTGTGCTTGCCAAAACAATTCATTTAAAGTCTCACAAAACACACAGGCATGGTCGGTTGGTTTAGCGGTCAATAATCGTCCCGGCTAGTCTCGTCGCAGCGCTTCTCGGT